ACGGAATTGCACCTGTATTCTTGAAAAATCTTTCAGAACAACTTACCTTTCCTTTCGAAAGCCTTTTCCATATGTTGAAATTTGGAAATCGTCTCATTTAGTGCCTATTTTAACAGGCAAAAAAATTGAAATTCGTAATTATCGAAGAATTGTCCCTATCTCTTGCATCCCAAAATTTTTTGAATCAATTTTAAAAATGTTCAGCAAGTCAAACATCAAATTACGAACAAACAGCGGCTTTTTTAAAGGTCGCTCAGCTACTTATAATCTTCCTGAATTTGTAACCTTCATCCTTAACGCAATGGACAATGACAAGCATGTATAAATGACTTTAGTAAAGCATTTGACCGATTCGACACACCATTATTTAGTTGAAGATGCTAATTTCAAATAACAGACTAAAGTGGTAATTTTTATACGTTAGAGTTAGTTCCGTTAGAGTACGGCAGTGTGAACATTGTATATAGAGAGTAGAAAGCGAGCAAGGACAACTTTAGGAAGGTACAAATCGGTTTGATCATCTCTCTTTACCAAACTCCCCTGTTGGAGAGGGATGGTAAAGAGAGAGGAATAGAACCTAGATTTTTGAATTTGCTCAAATCAAACATAACTACTACTAAAATGTTTGTTTATTTACTTACTGTCTTGTGGTTTACAATTACAACTCTTCATCTTTGGTGAATATGTCTGTAACAAGTTACAGTTTGATTTATGTTTTACTTTGTTATATTTTCCATTTTGCTTTTAATGAAAGCATGTAAATTGATTTTAATTAGAAATTTGATATTCTACCTACTTAACCTAGTTGCCTAACCTAACGTATCAGAACCATAATGATCTGTTGATCGGATCGCATGCTACAATCTCTGAACCATTCTATGGTAGCAGTTCTCCGGAACGCCAAAGTCTGAAGACCAGCCAAGCGGTGGACCTCAGAATTTCTAGTCTACGATGGACTGTTGAGGATCATCCTCAGGATCTTGTTCTGGATCCTTTGTAGTTTGAGGTGATGATAATTTGCGCAACTCTCCCAGATTGGCAACCCGTTCTCTATGACGGGAAGGATTTTTTGCTTGTAGGCAGCAAGCTTGTTTTTCAGGGATAGGATGGATCTCTTGTTGATAAGCGGGTACAGCGACCTTATCAAGATGATGCATTTTGTTTATGTTTTGTCAACATGCACCCTGAAAATCAGCTTGCTGTCGAGTGTTAGTCTGACGTAGACTACCTCTTTTGAAAAATCCACCACTGTGCCGTTCAGGCAGATTTTGTTATTCTTCGACGGAAAAAGTTTCAGAGATTTAGAGTGTGGAAAGATGATGACCTGAGTCTTTGCCGCGTTTATACGGATCGTCCAGTCCTCTCTGATGTTTGGCAGTCAGAGCTCCGATCACCCTACCCTACGATGGATGTGTCATCCGCGAACAGAGACAACGATCCGCTATCAGGGAGAGCTGGCATATCGGAGTTGAACAGGTTGACTAGAATGAGGCCAAGGATACCTCCTTGTGGAACTCCGGCACCGATGTTGAATGCAACCGATAAAATGCCATTCAGAGATACTCGGAACGTCCTGTCCGATAGATGATTTTGGATGATCTTCACGAGGAAGATTGGAAGACCGTACTGCCGCAATTTATAGACCAAGCCATCGTGCCAGACATTGTCAAATGCTTTTTCAACGTCCAACAATACCATGGCAGAAGTTTTCGAAACATACTTGTTCCGTCGGAGAATGTTTGTCACTCGAGTCAGCTGGTGAACGGTAGAGCGACCTTTCCGGAAGCCAAACTGTTCCTCGAGTAACAAGTTGAGATCTGCGGCAGATGTTAGTAGCTGATGATAGACTGCCCTTTCAAACAGCTTGGATAACCCTGAGAAAAGGCTGATATGTCGGTAGCTTGAAGGAGAGGAAGGATCCTTCCCAAGTAACCATAGGTACGTTATTTCGCCTTTTTGGCTATATACGGCTCAACAATGGCTATACCAGTGTTTGTAAGTTCTGATGAGGTCCTTTTATAGCCAAAAAGGCAAAATAACGTGCCTATGGTCACTTGAGTTCCCAGGTTTCCGAATGGGGATGACTTTGGCTAACTTCCAGCACGAGGGGAAGTAGCCAAGTTGGAGGCACTGATTGAAAATCAGGTTGCACACATGTAGGAGCTACTCGTGCTATATTATTGATGGAAGTATACATTTAGGATGCTTTTAATACACATGTATAGTACACACTTAGAAATAAACGCCGACTTCGGTAATTTTTACCGAGATCTGAACAGCTGTACTGTTCGGTAAAATTTATGCAATTCAATTCAATCACTTTTCAGCTACTATGAAACTAAATCTCCACTTAAATGACAAGATTTGATCATTTAAACAAGGTTGAACATGATTTGAAATTATTTTGTCATCATTTATGAAGGTCAAAGTTTTACCGAACAATGTTCTGATTTCGGTAAAAATTACCGAACACGGAAACAAAATCTTTGTGTGTAAGGTTTTCACTTTCTGTAGCCCTTGATTTAAGTTACTCATAACGGCAATTCAAACTGCAATGGTTGCTCACGAGTTACCAATAAAAAAGTTCACGAGTCATAGTTCGCTATCTATTTCATCACAAATCGGGTACGAAAAGTTGTGCAAGGAAGCTAGAGCAAAATATATCTTTTAACACACGCTCTCTCTTGCAGCGGAGTCTTAGTGGGAGTGATATTAGTTCCTATCATTTTCAAACAAGAAAGTTCACTCGGGAAACAACGCTTTGAGAAATTCTATCGATAGTGAATACATCTCGCTTGCAATAATGAACCTATGGCGATATTTCCAACACTGTTCTGAAATGGTCCGCAACGTTTCGAAGTCTATTGAGCGGCCAGGGACCTATGAACAACTACGATTGGAACTGGAGGCTGTTAAAACGAAGACTTTTTTCTGCCTCAATTGGTCATTATCATTCATAAGACGGCAATAAGAATCATATGGTCCCATTATTGTGGTGCATTTTACCCTTTGTTGTAGTGCATTTTACCCCAGGATGGGTGCATTTTGTCCCATATTAACGAAACCTGATTTCACATTCAGATTCAGCGACCCAAAATTAAGGAAAATAATACAACACAAAGTCATATTAAAATTAAATTTAACATCACATTAAAACAAATGAACTTTCTAGTGAGGTAAATCAACAATCGTGTAAACTTGTAGTTCATTTAGTACAAACTAGATACATGAAAGGAATATTTATTTCAGGTTTTCCAGCAAGACGTTCATTTTGGTGGGTTAAGTTTGTATGATGGATAACAACCACTTGCTTCCCCACTGCTCTTACGATATTTAAATTGAGATATCCAACAACTGAATCAAATTTGAAAGGATTTTTCAACGATCTGGATTTGCGGGTGAACTTTAAAGTTTGTATGCAATCTTCATCAAAGTTGTTTTGCATTATTTTGCCAATTTAAGTCCCAGGTTTGGTAAAAATTGAGCACTTTTATAATTTATGGCAAGCAAATGAAAGTTTTCATTCCATTTCCTATTCTTTAAAAATACAAAATAACCCCGCAAACCCAAATCATAACCAAATTTGTGCCAATTTGACACAGTTCTTGGGCACCTCAATACCAATCAAAAAAGTAGTTGGGAGTAAGAGGTTGTTTAGTATTACCATATTCATACAATAGTTGAAATATTTCATGACTTGATCTATGATTTAATCGTTTGCTCATGTGTGCTCGTTTGATTAACGGTATGTTTATTTGAATTATAATTATTTTTGAATTTTGATTGACTATATTTCTACATGAATTACGTTTACGAATTGCATAAAAGGATCACCCTGTACCATCGTGCGCCTTATGCAGCATACATAGTAATCTACACACTCGATTAACCAGATCGTCTATTGATAGCTAGCACACCATCGAAACAAATGCAAATTAGTGCCAAATTTAGAAATAGCGAAGATTTCGCGTTGATAAAAACACACACGCAGCTGCATCGGGCTCGCAGCGAACGCATCATCGCGACCCATCGGAACCGATTGATTCCCGATTGATTGATCGGTCCCACAAATTTCAATCGATCCATCTATGGGCTGGTGCAGTAGCCGGGGACTTCCGAGTATAAAACCCTCTGTACCTCGGAGGAAGTCCAATCACTCACAATCGAATTTTGACGCTCGCACGGTTCAGTGATCGAAAACCTCCCAACTTTCCATATCATCTAGGTCGGTGTGGCTGAAGGATACGCTTGACGAGTTCCGTCCTTGTTGTGCAAAATGTGCCGTCTTCCTGTGGCGTCGATTTCTATTGCTGCGTGTGATAAGCATCCGGTGTTCAGATCCGGCGATCCTGTGAATTGTGCTGTCCTGTGGCGTCTCGTATCATCCAGACATGTGAAACTGTATCCAAATGTTGATCCCTTGTGAACGTCTTACTATTTCTAAGTGTGACATGAAGAATCCAAGTTATGTAAGTTCAGTACTGTGGAAAAAGTGTGAGCAAGAATTTAAGTGCACGCTGTACAAATGATGGAAAGGAATAAATGTGTGTTTGAGTTAATGGAGTAAAAGTGGAGAATTATCGTATAATATTAAAAAGCTTGAAAAAACATTTATTAGATTTCAAGATAGCATCCAAAAAATTTAGCTGGATCTTCTCACACACATGGCGACGAGTTCAAATCACATCAGAAGAAAAGTCGGGAATGAGCTTAAAAGTGTTACAACAGCTAAAAAGTTTCGTCTTCTGCTTGTGCTTGGGTTATACGTCAGAAATGTATCCCTGTCTTCAATGAGCATTTCCGCAGCTGTCAATTTAGAGTTTTCCTGTGGGATTATATTTGCTTAAACTAGAAATAACGTTTTTCTAATGGTGCAACATAATGTTTCACTACTTTCCATCTTTGACAGAATAACGTTTTTACATTTTTTCAATATTACCTGTAAAGCCTGGAAACAAGTTTATGTTGTTTGTTTATTAAGAAAAACCTCATCCCAGTCATTTTTAATCAACGTTAATTATAATAATTTTCCCCAGGACCTACGGGACCATAAAGCGGCGCCAAAATGTGTGATGATGATGCAGGAGCTCTAGTCATCGACAATGGATCCGGTATGTGCAAGGCTGGATTCGCTGGTGATGACGCCCCACGTGCTGTCTTCCCATCCATTGTCGGTCGTCCACGCCACCAGGGTGTGATGGTCGGTATGGGTCAAAAGGATGCCTATGTTGGTGATGAAGCCCAGTCGAAACGAGGTATCCTCACCTTAAAGTATCCAATTGAGCATGGTATCATCACAAATTGGGACGACATGGAGAAGATTTGGCATCACACCTTCTACAATGAGTTGCGCGTGGCTCCAGAGGAACATCCAGTGCTGCTCACTGAAGCCCCACTGAACCCAAAGTCCAACCGTGAGAAGATGACTCAGATCATGTTTGAGACTTTCGCTTCGCCAGCAGTCTATGTTGCCATTCAGGCTGTCCTCTCTCTGTATGCTTCCGGTCGTACAACTGGTATCGTTTTGGATTCTGGTGATGGTGTCTCCCACACTGTCCCTATCTATGAAGGTTATGCTCTGCCTCATGCCATCCTTCGTATGGACTTGGCCGGTCGTGATCTGACTGACTACCTGATGAAGATCCTGACTGAGCGAGGATACTCTTTCACCACCACTGCTGAGCGTGAAATCGTTCGTGATATAAAGGAAAAGCTGTGCTACGTCGCTCTGGACTTCGAGCAGGAAATGCAAGCTGCTGCTGCCACTTCTTCATCGGAGAAGTCTTATGAACTTCCCGATGGTCAGGTCATCACCATCGGTAACGAGCGTTTCCGTGCCCCAGAGGCTCTCTTCCAGCCTTCCTTCCTTGGAATGGAATCGACTGGTATCCACGAGACTGTCTACAACTCGATCATGCGCTGTGATGTCGACATTCGTAAGGATCTGTACGCCAACAGTGTCTTGTCTGGTGGTACCACCATGTATCCAGGTAACTACTACATGCCATTTATTAATTCATAATATGTTTATTTACAAGGGTGATCTTCAACAGGTATTGCTGATCGTATGCAGAAGGAAATTACTTCCTTGGCTCCATCCACCATCAAGATTAAGATCATTGCCCCACCAGAACGTAAATACTCCGTCTGGATCGGTGGATCCATTCTGGCTTCCCTGTCTACCTTCCAGGCCATGTGGATCTCCAAGCAAGAATACGATGAAGGTGGCCCAGGAATTGTCCACCGCAAGTGCTTCTAAGCTAACAAATGAACTCACCACAACAAGCCATTGCCAATGAAAGCGACAACAGCAACAGCAAAATAAACCAATTTAAACTGATTCGGCTACCACCGACAATCGGAATCAGCTTGCATCGAACATAAAATCACGTTATCCAATGTTACTGTCATCCGGCTCAGACAAATCGTTACTTTCTCTTGTTCAACACCTACACACTGGATGAAAGTGTCGAACCGAAAGGACTCGTATGATTACCAAGGGGAGCAAACATCGTTTACCTTGTAGCAAGTCTTCGTGAAGAACGGACATCTCCAGCGAATCGCTCAAGCGCTTAACTTGTTTTAGAAGTTTAGTGTGTACCATAACCCCGTTGAAGATCTATACTTAGCACCATTACCACCTTTATGTGTTCAACCAACCAAAAATGAAAGGCTACTGAAAGCGCGACCAGTATCCGCGAACTATTCATCCTGTTTTCTATTCTGTAATATTTATACATTTAGTTTCAAATAATTTTCAGTAATAAAACATTTCAAAATATGTTGTATGAATCTCATATCTTATTCTTTATAGATAGGATTCCTAGTTTTTTTTTTGTTTTCCCTTCCCCATCCGAGGATAACCATTAAAATATTTTTTAGACGTAGGACTAAGTCTTCCTTTTCTACACATCTTTAGCAAATCGAAAATGGGGCATGTAACGAAAAAGAGAGGCGTTTTCAAACGTATATTTCTCCAAAGCATTAATTTGAAATATGACTTGCAATATCCCATTCGACGGGAAATTAATCCAGTTATATTTGGCATACAGGACAAATAGTAAATATAGTTAAGCAACTAAGAAATTTACCGAAAATTGGATGAATCACAATTTCCCATACATTTGCTTAGACCACAAGGTGTCTTTTCTAACGAAATCATCACATAGTTGGTACCAAACGAAACAAGCCGAAGACGCATTTCCATTCGAACTTCGGACGTGTTCGTATCGTTCAAGATGCAGCAGCTCAATACAGACGATAAGGGATCCGTAGAAAAGGCTTCCCGCAAGCAGCTTGCTATCAAAGCAAGAGCGATACAGCCAGAGAAGTAGTAAAGAAGCAACACCAGCACTGTTCGGGTGCAGTTGCTCTTCGTGCTATACGCCGCTGTTGGGCCATCTTCACCACGTCATCATCGAAGAACACCAAACTCGCTCACCGTATCCGTGGAGAAGCGCCTGCAGATCTCGAAATTCCCCAATCATGACAAAGAACAACCCGGTACGGTCCCCTCAACCCGCGGCTACCAGAAAAAAATACGAACCTGGTTGTAATCCACGCTAAGTGTGTCATCATCATCTCAAAAGACCTCCAGCTCGTTCCTCATATTATCAGCATTCTACACTTAATACCTGAACAGAGATCGAAGCGAAGTGAAAATATGTATGTATGTATGTATGTAAGGTAGCCACCATCCCTTCAAAGATCTTGCATTGTATGCAGCTCCACTTAATAGCAAGAGCAATTTGAGCTACCGATCTGAATTCACAATATCGCTGTATGAAGGGCAAAAAACGGAGGTGCGTACCCGTAAGCAGAGACACTTACGCGAAATCCACGGGAATTTAAGAATCTCCTTCCAACGATACGATCCAATAAATCGAATAAGACAATTCGCAATACCTATTAAGCTTCCTACAGGATGGTTAGTAAAGAAGGGCGCGTCAATCTCACTGAAACTGTTGAAGTAGAATTCACACCACCACAATCGAATTTATAGGATAAAAAAAATGATAGTGTTTATTCCCTCCTAGACTCCGGTTGTCATACCACTCCATCGTCCAGTTCCAGGTCAAATGGTACCCTGATGCTCAAGTGAAAAGTGTGATGTATAACTAACATGACTAACAATAAAATGGGATTACGAGAAAAATAAAGGAACGATCTCACCCGATATGTTGCAAAGGAATCCATGACATCACGATGATTTCGAAGAGCTCCAATAGATATGCTGCCGCTAACTTCTTCAATCGGTTTTAAAAACAGCACTCTCGCCTTTCGGTTCTCACACAGCAGCGCAAACCCCATCAACCACGAAACACACTCTAGCTGCTCCAACTAGAGGGATCTCAGCAGAGAAAAAAAGGGCTGCATCAACTTTCCATCACCAATCACTCGCGACACAACGACTTCAGTTCGCCAGTACACTGTATGAAAGACGCACCGCCAGCTCCTCACCGGCCGAATCAACTCGCAACCAATCAGAACCGAAAACCCACGCGTCTATTTAATAGCGGCCACGGCACACTTCGATTGCATTTCTGAAACACAACCTCAACGCACAAACACGACGATGACAACATTCGTCCGGGAGGCGGAACGCCAGCACGTACAAACAAAGGGAAGACAAAATTCACACACAGAACACGGCACGAGCAGAACTGCTAAGATCGAACCGAAATGAAAATATCATATAAATTATTCGATTTTTCACCAGCGTGAAAAATTTAATTGAAAAAAAATTTACTTCGCGTGGAACTTTAAACAGATTTGACCCAGTGAAAACGAGTTTTGTAGAGTCACGCATGCAACTGCTCGTGAAAAAAACTGCAGCTTACCGAAAAGTTGACGTTTAGAGAAAAAAAGGAATCTGTCATATTTACACTTCACCGGAACTGCGAAAAGAGGAAATTGGAAAATGTTCCGCTTCCATTTTTAACAACATTTTTGCTATCGAAATTTTATGAATTTAAACTTGCTACAATTTTTTTTCGCTTCGATCTGTATAACTTCCCAAATAACCAACAAACCCGTTAATTCGCCTTTTTGCAGTATAAGGCTAATATGCGGCTAAAATAAAGCTTAACATGCCCTACATCAAATTGCATCACGGAAAAAAACGCTGTAGAAAATTATCCATTGAGTTTTTTTTTTTTTAAATTTAGGTAGAAGTAGCTTAGAGTGTATTGTTTACACTGTATTTTTAACGCCGTAAGTTTTTCGAAAGTTGGAAAAAATGGCGTCATTCGAAAAGCCAATGATTTTGCGCAAGCACCTGGAAAATCCTCAACTCTCTCATCGGGACATCGGAAAACAACTCAGAATCGTGCATTCAACGGTGAGTCGTGTGATTAAATGTTACTATAAAACTCTGAAAATCGAACGGAAGGAGAAATGCGGTCAGAATGGATCAGGATCACAAGTGTGTCGTGAAAGCGTTTAACCGGAATCCCAATGCTTCGGTCAGGGATGTGGCCAAAAAGTTGAATCTTTCAAGTTTTTCGTTCAGAGAGCCAAGCACCGGGAGGGACTGCATACGTACAAAGTGCAGAAGGCTCCAAACCGTGACAAACGGTAAAATATGGTGGGAAAGTCTCAGACTGTACACCCAGATGCTGACGACCCAAGTAACCAAAAGTTCCGCATTCAACGATTAAAATCACTTCCAAGTTCCATAAAGTTCAAATAAAGTTGCGACAGAACTATCAAGTTCCATAAAGTTCAAATAAAGTTGCGACAGAACTATCAAGTTCCATAAAGTTCAAATAAAGTTCCGACAGAACTTTCAAGCCACATGAAGCAATCCGCACAAGTCTTTATTAGTAACAACATTTAATGTATTTAAATATGAAATGATCAGTGGCCCGAATAAATAATAATTCTTATATTGGCAGTGCATCGATATTCTATCCAAACATAAAAAAAATAAAAAGTAATTTCCAGGATTCGAACCCGTGTATTCGGCATGCGATCTACGAACGCTAACCACTGCGCCATTCGGGCAAACACCAATTTAAATTCATCAAGGTGTTGTATTTCGTATTCAAGTCAGTCAGCTGGCACTGAAAACTTCAACAGTAGGCGCGACAACACCCAGACAACCAGAATGCACGTACATTCAGAATTGTTTTCGTGATATAGTTCGTATAGAATGCAAATAAATGGCTTATACGTACAAAAGTGGAGGCCGGTGCATATTTAATTTTAATTTTAAACGAGTTGATTAAACATCATATATGATTTAATCTGTAATAACAAATTCATTTTGAAAAGTCTTACGATGTAATTCGATTTAATTTGTGATACAGTACGACGGAAAAATGAGTCATCGCATATAAGTCGGAAATTTGCATTCTATACGATTTAACATAAACATAATGCGAGGTATGCCATTCTTATATGCGATTTTGACTTAAACTGTAGCAATTTACGATACTCTCTGTACATTGTTATACGACTTCTGGTTGTCTGGGCAGCTCACTTTATAATATCTCAGATGACGCAGCGGTTCGTGCTGAGGCTCTCACGCAGAAGGACTGGGTTTAATTAATTCTTCTAACAGCTCCAATTCTACTACTAATGCTGATAAATCAATACACATTAATAACTGCCTTTAAAAATAACTTTCATAAAAGTGCGAACTAAATATAGAATTGTTGGTGTAGAGGACAAAACCTTTTAAAATCTATTTTTTAAAAGTTCCGTTCAAGTTCCGCCAGAAGCTGCTTTGAATGCTCTTCAATTATGATACCGGAACTTTCAAGTTCTTATAACGACTTAAAAATGAGGCTGCTTATAATTGTATAGACTACCTCCAACCAAGCTGCTTAAGCCTTAAATAGCCTTTTATCAGAACTTTTGGTTACTTGGGGAAGCCTCATTATCTCATCATGAATGATGAGATTTACGTCAAAGCGGACTTCTGGCAGCTTCCGGGGCTACTGTTCTTCACCTCCCAGTACTAGTTTGATGTTCCGGAGGAAGTTTCTGCTTCCTTAACTTTCAAAGTTTGCCAAGAAATACAAGATTTGGCAAGTGATCTGCTCATGTGGCAAACGAAGTGCGCCTTTCATGACTACCGGGACTGAGAACGGGGAGATCTACCTCTAGGAGTGTCCACAGAAGCATCTGCTTCCTCTGTTGAAGCAACACGAGGGCCCTACGATTTTCTGGTTAGATCTAGCTTCGTGCCACTATTCAAATGTTGTCCTGGAGTGGTACAAAGCCAACGGGGACACTTTCGTACCCAAGGACATTTACCCCTCCCCCCTCGCACCGGAACTAAGGCATATCGAAAAATACTGGGCTATTATGAAGCAGGCACTACGGAAGCATCCCAAGGAGGTCAAATCTGAGGAAGACATGAAGAAAAAGTGGGTTCCCGTATAGAAGAAGCTGCAGCCAGATGTTGTACAGAACCTAATGAGTGGAGTTAAGCGTACGGTTATGGTATTGAAGTTGAATGAAATATGCGAAAAGCTTACTAATGGGCTACAGTTTATTGTCTGAAAGTTATTTTTGTTATTTACCTATGTCATTGGATTCACTAGAGGCGCTTCACTTTTATTTTACTTATGACGGGCGATATATTTAGTACATGGAACTTGGGTCCAACATAGAATATTTCGTAATCCTGGCCATACAGAAAGCTGCTGACTTCAGCAAAGTTGTTCAGGTGACCAAGTTCTTTTGGATGGTAGCCATATTAGATTAGAGATCTCTCACTTCGCAACGATAGTGTGCACATGAGCTTCCTGTATAAACTGTATCTCAAAATCCTGGCCATATAG